CACAGTAACTCAGAGGGAATTCCCAAGTTGGGAATTTCTCCCAATAATAATTTACCTACCATTAAGGCTGTTGCTCTCCTACAAGATAGTGCCTCCACCCAGTGTGGGGAAAACATACAAATCATAACTAACACACATTTGTATCTTCACAATGGTGGCATTTGTATCAAATCCAATTACCATACTTCAAAGGGTCTAAAGGAAGTGGGAAACATCCTTGGGACCCATGGGAGTGAATTTCCAGGGTTCTATTTGGACAGAGGGAACATCTGCTATATACTTTACAAGCTACAGAAGAGGTTTCCAATAAATCATCTTTTTAGGACCCCAGTGTGTTAGCTTATGTACATATTAAAGTATAGGTCATTGATTTATTGATGAGAGCCATTCTGACAGGTGTGATATCTCATTGCAGTATTAATTTGCATTTCTCTGATGACTAGTGACATTGGACATCTTTTCATATGTCTATTGGCCATCTGTATGTCATCTTTGGAGAAATGTTGGGAAGGATGTGGAGAAAGGGGAACCCTTTTGCACTTCTGATGGAAATACAGATTGATATAACCATTGTGAATAGTATGGAGTTACCTCAAAAAAAAAAAAAAAAATGGAGCTGCCTTATGACCCAACAATTCCACTTCTGGGAATATATCTGAAGAAACCCGAAACACTAATTCAAAAGAACATATATACCCCTATGTTCACTGTAGCATTATTTACATTAGCCAAGATTTGGAAGCAGCCCAAGCACCCATCAGTAGATGAGTGGATAAAAAAGCTCTAGTACATTTTATACAATGGAATGCTACTTGGTCATAAAAAGAAGGAAATCTTATCTTTTGCGATAGTATAGATGGACCTGGAGGCTATTATGCTAAGTGAAATAGGCCAGTCAGTGAAAGACAAATACCATGTGATTTCATTTATATGTGGAATCTAATGAACAAAGTGAACTAACAAACAAAATAGTAACAGATTCAGAGAGAGCAGGCTGACAGCTATTGATGGGGATGTGGGAGAAGAGTACAGGTGGCTGGGTCAGGGAGTGGAAAAACTGGGCATAAATGAAAAAAACTCATGGACAGAACAACACTGTGGTGGTTGCCAGGTGGAGAAGGGGTGGAGGGTGGTGAAGGAGGAAATGGGGGTTAAATAGTGATGGATGGAAGCTTAACTTGCAGTGGTGAGCACACAATACAGTATACAGATGATGTGTTGTGTGATTGTGCACCAGAAACCTGTGTAATTTGTTAACCAATGTCACCCCAATAAATTCAATAAAAAGGAGGAAAAATAAAGTACTGGTAATTGAGTTCCTATACTGAAGATAATAAGATTGGTTTCTGACTGAGTCCAAGCTCTACCTGTTTCCCTGGGTCAAAAGTTCCCCCTTTTTTGTTGCCATGTCCTCTTTTCTTCTGCTGCAGCTGTCCATTGGAACTTAAAACAGGAAGTTTCAGAATTCTGGGAGAAACTCACGCCAGGTCCCCGATACAAAGCAAGGAGCCAGTGGGGCACAATAGGAAGAATTTCTTAAACAAGATACTCTTACAAGCCCAATTCATAAAGTTATATTGCTAAATTTGACTAGATTAAAATTAAATCTCCTGTTCCACAAAAGACAATATAAGTAAAGTAAAATAACAAGCCAAAAACTCAAAAAGGATTGTTGCAAAACATATAATTTTCAGAGGATTAGTGTCCAGGATATGTAAAGAATTCCTACAAATCAAAAGGAAAAAGACAAAATGCCCCATTATAAATTAGTCAGTGTATATGCACAGATAATTCTTTTTTTAAGTAACTTTTAAAAGAGATTTTATTTATTTATTTTTAGACAGAGGGGAAGGGAGGGAGAGAGAGAGAGAGAGAGAAACAATCAATTAGTTGCCTCTCACACCTCCCCCCCGCCACCACCCTCAACTGGGGACCTGGCCCGCAACCTAGGTGTGTGCCCTGACTGGGAATAAAACTGGCAACCTTCTGGTTCACAGGCCGGTGCTCAGTCCCCTGAGCCACACCAGCCAGGGCCTAATTCTTAAAAGAAGAATTCTGAAGGTTCAATAAACATTTAAAAATAAATTTAACTTCATTATTTATCCAGGAAATAAATGATAGAACAACAATGAGTTACCATTTCATACCTATCAGATTAACAGAAATTAAAAAGTTTGACATTATTGAGAGTTGGGGAGGATGTAGAGGAATGGGGAATCAAAAGTGAAGAAAAACCCTAGGAATAAATGTCCATCAGCAAGGGAACAGATAAATTGTGGTATATTCATTCAATAGATTATTATGTAGCTATTAAAGTGAATAAACTAGAGTGATATGCTTCATATGGCTTAATCACAAAAAAAATGTTAGCCCAGGAAAAAAATAGTTGAAGAATGCTATATGCAGAGTAGCATCATTTATATAAAATTGGAAAACAGGTAAAGCCTTGTTCAGAGTTATAGATCCATGTAGTAAGAGTATAAAAACATGCCTGGAAATGTAAAACACCAAATTTATTAAGTAGGTTACCACTAAGGATAAAAGCAGAGCAATAAGAACAGGGAAAAGATATGTACGGAGGCCTTCGCCTTTATCTGTCATATTTTATCCTGTTAAAAAAATATCTGAAGCAAATAGGGCAAAGTATAAAGGTTTTAGGAAGTAAATTGAGGTGTCTGAAGTTGCTCTCACTCTTCTGAATGTTTAAAGATAATGGCCGTAAATTCAGGAAAGATGTTTCCATTGGAAGAGATAACAAAATGTAAACCCAATGCAAGCATGTCCTTTGTTTTAGCCACTGCTCTCTGCCCCCACTTAGAAGAGGGCCCAGTACAGAGGAGGTATTCAACAAATATTTGCTGGATCAATGAACATCTGCAAAGGCAATGAGACATGTTAAAACACAGTGTGTTCAAAAGAGCTAATCATAATAACAGCCAACGTCTATTGAGCCCCACATGCACCAGCTACTGACTTAACTAGTTGGCCTGGATTGTTTCCTTCCATCCTTGTAACCATGGTAAGGACCATTCTTATCCTTACTCTACAGGTGAGGAAATGGAGGCTTAGAGAGTTAGGTAGCTTGCCTGAGGGCATAGTGGTTAGGACTAGATTCCACAGTCCATCAAAAAACTCTGGGTCTTATGCTGTAGGTAATTGCAAAATTTGGAGCAGTGGAAATCAATAAGACAAGGAGGCACACTGAACATATACACACGCCCAAGTGAAGGGTGACCATGAGCAGGTGGGGTAGGGAGGCTGCCTGGTGCCTGTTAGCCTTCCAAGGGGACACAGAGCAGGGAACACTGTAGTCTGCCTGGGCAGTCAGGAAAGGCTTTACCAGGAGGAGACATATGAACTTGGCCTTGAAGGAGAAGTGTACCTGCAAATGCTGGGAACCCAGCAATTCCTGTTCCACATCCAGCTGATGTTGCTCAGAAGATCCATTGCTCTGGATGGTGAGCACAGAGCCCGACTACACAGGGCCGAGAGCACCCACATGAAAAGGCAGCCTGGTTTGAAGGTAACCTTGAGTTTGAGGAAGTTTGCTCTCACCATTATATACACAGAGAAGAAAATGCAACTCAGAGCTCTTCTTTAGAAGCCACGACAGCAATCCTACAGGCAATTGCTTGCCTTTTAATAAGAGCTAACATTTGAGCATTTACTGTTCATGGGGTGCTGGGCTGTCATCACAGGCTTTATTGCCTCTAATGCTCACAACTCTATGAAGCAGGTATTCTTTATCCCTTCCCAGGGATGAGGAAACCCAGGCTTAGAGAATTTAACTGTCTTGCCCAAAGTCCTATGCAGTTAGTAAGCAGCAGAGCTGGGATTTGAACCCACAGTTGTCAACTCTCCAGCCCTTATTTTAACTGCTGCTGCTCACAAGCACAGACATCCATTGAAAGCAACAAGAGTTTTACTGCTTTCAATTGGCAGAATAAATGAGAATGTGATCCGAGTTTAATAAACTAGAAACCAAGCTTGTCATTACATCCATGAACACCTGTCACATGTTAGGTACTCCATAAACGCTTGTGAAATGAGGTAGCGTTTAGTTTCAGGAAATGAAAACTAACCCAGTGTGAATGACATACTACCCTTGTAGTAGTTTCAGAAGTCTTTGCAGGGACTCTCCGAATCAATGCGGCCGCCTGCACCCACATGCCAGCATGTGAGCATGCATACAGACATGCACGGACATGCACGCGCGTGCATACACACACACTTAGACCTCCAGGTGAGCTCCCACCTCTCTCTCAAATCTCTGCTCCACCTACCCTTCCGGTGGCTCCTCCTCCCGCTCCTTGGCTATCAGTCCTGACCCCGCCCGCTGTCCTGGTTCCTGTCACTGGGTGCTGAGCTCCTGGAGGGAAAGGCCATGTGTTTGTTCTTTTATCTCTCAGCCTACCATTGAGTAGGCCTACTTTGAAAATAGGCACTGAATGCACAGAGTAGGAATATTCTCCCAAATAGCTCACAGAGATACAAATACTGAGAAAAAAAATAGGACAGGGGAAAGAACTGGAAGACTTCTGCTTTTCAAATAAAATTAGATAAAGAGAGCAATGCATCCTTTCCCCCAGGAAAAGTCACCATCAATTGGATCGTGTGTATTCATTTTATTAATTTATTGCACCTTTGCCAGACACCTACCTACTATGTGCAGGAGCCAGTCCTGGCCTGGAATTGGAGGGTTCTTATTCACCCTTCCTTCAAAGTAAACTTAGAAGAGACCCCTCTCTCCACTGGGCACAGGGGCACAAAGATGAGGTACACACAATCCATGTCCCCAGGCCCACAGAGTGGAAGGCAGGGCGAAGTAAAGCAAACAGTCACAACTTACAAATGTAAAGGTTATTCTGTGGAAAGGTAGGTAGGAGGAGGAGACAGAGAAGTGAGATTGAGGGGAGAGGAGAGAGTGGCAGGGAGAAGAGAAAGGAAAACAGCGGCAGCCTGTCTGGGTTCTCCCAGAGCCACATCTAACAATACTCTGGTCACGTTTTAATTAATTGGAAGGTTTTCCCATTGACTCAAACAAGAGCTCTCTCTCTGATTAATTTTCGAAAGAGCCGGCCGAGTTTAATCATAGCAAACACAATGATCCCGGTAATTACGGCCTGAGTAGCAAAAGCAGAAAATAAAACCCCCAGAACAGGCTATGGTCTTGACCGTTGCCCTCGGCCTCATGCTGGGCCCACGCCCAGGGTTCTGAGCTACTAGGCACCAAGGCTGGGGGGTCGCGGGCCGCAGGCAGCGCCGGCCGGGGCGGAGCGGGAGAGGGAGAGAGGGGAGGCGGGCCTCGGGTGCTCGGGCACCCCAGATCGCTGTCCTGCAGCGCCTGGAGCGGCAGGCCAGCGCGCTGCGCTGGGCCCTGGCGCTGCAGGGGCTCGGCTTTGCCCACGCGGCCCGGGTGTTGTAGCCACACCAGGAACGGCGGCAGGCCGCAGTCGCAGCGCCAGGGATTGTGCCCCAGCCGGACCTCCTCCAGCCGGGGCAGAGCCCCAAAGACGTCGCCAGGGATGGTCTCCAGCTGGTTATGGTCAAGCTGGACCTCTGCGAGGTTCCGGAGGTCGCGGAAGAGCGTGCGGGGCAGGGCCCGCAGCTTGTTGCGGCGCAGCGGCACTTGGCGCAACTGGCCGAGGCCGCGCAGCAGGCCGTCGGGGAGGGAGGCCAGACTGTTGGAGTGCAAGGCGAGCACCCGGAGCTCGCCGAGGCCGCGGAACGCGCCCCCTGGGAGCGCGCTCACGCGCGGGTTCAGGGTCACCTCTAACACTCACAAGCGGCTCAAGTTGCTGAAGACGGCGGCGGGCAGGGTGCGCAACGGCGTGCCGTTTAGCCACAGCCCCTGCAGGCCCGCCATCTCCCCGAAGAGCACCTGCGGGAGCTCTTCCAGCGGGTTCTCGAACAGTGTCAAGAAGTTCAAATTGTGCAAATGGAGGAAGAGTGCAGAGAGCAGGAACTCGAGCTGGTTTCTGGAAAGAGTCAGACGGCTCAGGTTGCGGAGCAGGTCGAAGGTCCTGGGCGCTATAGAACGGATGCGGTTTCCGTCGAGCCGCAGCTCAATCAGGGTGCGCAGACTATCGAATAGCCTGGAATCCAGAGAGACGAGCTGGTTCGAGTACAGCAGAAGTTTCCCAAGCTTAGCCTGTGCCCCCAGCAATCCCTTGGGCAGGTGAGTTAAATTGTTTTCCGATAAATCCAACAATCTCAGGTTCCCCAGATGTGTGAAGAGGCTAACAGGAAGGAAAACGAGTTGACTGTGCTTTAAAGAGAGCTCCTGCAGGTTAACCAGTTTTTGAAACATGTTTTGGTCAATGCCCTGTAGCTCATTGTGGTTCAAAAACAACTGTTCCAGGAGCACCATCTTATCCAAGAGCGCGCCTGGAAGATGAGTGATCTTGTTGTGAGACAACCTCAGGGTTTTTAGTTTTATCAGGTCATTGAAGGTGCCAGGGGCGATGGCGGAAATGTTGCTATCTAACAGTATCGGGCGCTGCAGTACCGTCATGCCCCTGAAGCTGTGATTCTGCAAGGTGCTGGGGCCCATTTGGAAAAGCAGGAGGTGCGTGAGGTTGGTGGGCAGGCCGAGCGCTGCAACGCGCGACACGCCGCCGCCGGAGCACTGGGCGGCGTCCCGGAAGGTACAGCTGCAGGTGTGTGGGCAGGGGAAGGGCTGGGCGCGCAGGTGCGCCAGCACCGCGCACAGCTGGGTGCCCCTCAGCACGTCTGAAACCTGTGGAGGACACACAAGGGCAAACGCTCATGTTGGAGCTTGTCACCCTGTTTAATTTTGCAGAGGCACGGTTCTTTCGCCAGGATTATCACGGTCTCAGAATGTGATCCAGATACAACTAAGCCTCCCGCTTTCCTTAGATGTGCAGAGTCCCCTGGGCGGTGGGTGAAAAGATAACCATTCATTCTCCATTTGGAGGACTCGTTCTTTTGTTTCACTGATTTTCCACTCTCAGTATGAAACATTGACATTGAAGCGTTTTCAAGCTATAGAAAACCCAATACTTAAGAAATCTTTACATAGAGATAACACATTAAATGGTCATTCTTATATTCAAGCTCCAGATATCACAGAGCAGGGCCATTATGAAATTGGTCTGCTCTTGACTTTATACTTTCCTCAGGACGGGCTATAACCAAGCCATGAAGGGAGTAGCAAAGTCCGTTAAAACAGCAGCCACCTGATTCCTTTTATCATAACTGTGCTGTATCTGCAAGACTAACTCCTCTACTAAAATGATGAGCAGCCCCCCAATAGAGAACACTCTCAGCCACCCTGAAAAAAAAAAAAGCAGGTAATAACACTTATCACTTTAAAATGCCATGCACTGTCCCCAGCAATTTATTTGAATCAATTCACTTAATCCTTACCTAACGCTATGTAGATACGATTATTATCCCCAAAGAATGAAGAAAGTGAGGCACAGAAAGTTTAAGTAGCTTTATCAGGATCACAGAACTAGAATTGAGAGTAGTATATCTGATTAAGCCATAGATAAGAAGCTACCATTTCTAAGATGCTTAAAAATTAATACTCATGGCCCTGGCCAGATGGCTCAGTTAGTTGGAGCATCATCCCCTGCATGAAATGTTGTGGGTTTGATTCTCCATCAGGGCCCATACCTGGGTTGCAGTTCAACCCCTGGCCTGGGAGCCTATGACCCCTGTGGGGGGCACCCAATCTATGTTTCCTTCTGGCATTGGTGTTTCTCTCTCCCCTCCTCTCTCTCTAAAAGCAATGGGGAAAAAAAAAAAAAAAAAAAGTCCTCAGGTGAGTATTAAAATACTCTTGACATGGAATTATCTGTGACATATACACAGTAACTAATCTGCCAAAACAATGTCTACCAAGCATCATTTTATGCACATCTCTTGTAGCTAAATTTTGTTTCTTAGCCACACACAGACTAATCAAGCCTGCCAGTTGCCCATATTCATTTTTAAAATATTTGGCCTTACCTGAAGTGGGGCTGCACTCCAAAGCAACTGAAAGGTTTAGGGCCTTGCCTGCGACTCAGCACTTTCCAAAGGAAAAGAGCGGTATCCTTGCATCTTCAGGATAAAGACTTTAACAGAATGAAAGTCATGGAAAGGGCCCTATCTCAGGGCTTATTCTGGTTTTTAATGACAAATATTTTCAAACTGAAAGGCATATAACCTAAGTCCCACGGTCAAAGCGGAATGGTAAGAGCAGGAGGGAGAGAAGTTTCTCCATAAATGGCACTGTGTAACTCTGTGATGCTAGACAAGCCTAGTGACAGCGTCGGATCACAGCAGCAGGCAAACCTCCAGATGGGCCACTCTTTCTCTGGGGCTTCCTTTTCATGCCACATCGCCCCAGTTCTCGGGTCCAGTTCCCCATCCCCCGTGGATGAATAATAAGGCTCAGACCATTCTCAAAGGCTCCAATTTCTTTCCTTGTAGGAATAATAAGGCTGAAAACATTGTCAAGTACGTTGAATTGTGCAACCCTGGTTTGGTTGAAGGGTGTTCACACATTCCACGCACCTCAGGAATGTCACCCTGCTTCCCAAAGCCACGGTACCAATGTAATTCCACTATAGTATGTGACAGTTCCCGTGCCTCATAGCTCTGCCCACAACTTGGAATTGATTACATTTAATTTTTGCAATGAATGTAATTGTCAGTGTGGTTTTAATTGTGCATTTCCCTCATAATGAACTTGAGCATCTTTTCCTATTTTAAGGACCCCTTCTTCATCCTGAGAAATTTGAGTTTTCTTTTGCCCATTTGTCTATATGCAAAATATATATGCTTACGTTTTAAAATAACCTGAATTATAGGCTTTCTTTATATGTTCTGGATACTAATCCTTTGTCGGTTATAGGTGTTACAAGTACCTTCTAACTAGTTTGTGGTTTGCCTTTTCACCATTTTTATGAGGCCTTTTGACATAAATTGTATAGTCAAAGTTGTCAATTTTTAAAAATTTGTGATTTTTATGCCTATTGAAATAAATCCCCTTTTCCTCCTAAATCAGAAATATATTTCCCTATAATGCTGTATTGTTTTATTGTTTTGTCCTTCACTTTTAGGTCTTTAATCCGTCTAGAGTTGATTTTTGTGTATGATGTGAGACCGATTTTTTTCCCGCTATGGTAACCAGCTGTCCTAGCCCTAGTTACGTAAATCTCTTTTCCCCTCAGAGCTACAATGTTGGGCCCAACATCTCATGAATGTGTGGGTCTGTTTCTGGGCTATATGATAATCCCTGAACCAGTACTACACTGAAACAACCTTGTAATATTTAAAGCCTGAAAATACACAGTTTGTTTTATAAAGTGTGAAGAAATAGACATTTTCACACCACATTCATGGGCATATAAATTGGGGCAAACTTTTTGGAGGAAAATTTAGTAATGTCAACCAAATTTAAAACATAGTTTGTCCAGCAGTTCTACTGATTAAAAATACACGCTATGGATATGCTCATTAAGATGTGCACAAAATCATTAATTGCGGGATTGTACAACAGAAATAAAAACCTAAAAATACCATCAACAGGGAACAAGATGTTTAAATATAGCATTGTATGGACGTGCAGTGGGGTGCCTTGCAGACTTCAGTGAATAAAGTTGAGCTCCAAGAACTGACATAACTTTTCTAAGATGCACTGAATGACAGAAAATGAAGGTGGCATAGTAACTACAACAGGATTCTACTTGGGTAGCATATTAAAAAACATACTTACCTGAGAATATATACATATTTTCTTTGGAATAATGCACCCAAGAAATCTTAGTAATCACCTTTTGGGGGAGAAACTGAGGCACAGGTGAACTTCCTTACATATCTTTCCATGAGGTTTAAATTTTTATTAAACATGCTTATAGCACTATTACCTTTTCAAAAACATTTTTTAAAGATTTTAGAGAGGGGGAGAAAGAGAGAAACATCAATGTGTGGTTGCCTCTGGCACACCCCCTACTGGGGAGCTGGCCTGCAACCCAGGCATGTGTCCATACCAGGAAAACACCTATCCAAGCACAAAGGGTACCTAACCGCAACCCTTTGGTTTGCAGGCCAGCACTCAACCCACTGAGCCACGCCAGTCAGGGCTTTTTAAAAATTTTTATTGTAAAAATAAAGTGATTTGGAGCATCACTGGAGAAAAAAACATGAAGATAAGGGTATTAAAGCACACTGGAACGTCAGTGCTTGAATTGTGAAAGAATAAACATTAACCTCTGGAATCATTGAGTGGAATGGTACAGAAGTGGTTCTTAAATTACTTTATCCTGGTTGACAAGAATTCTTCAATCCATGACATTTGTAGGTGTAGAGAAAGCACTGAAATCCAATCAGCCTTGGACTTAGCCAAATATACTCAAAGCTCAGTAAATGGTGAACTGAGATTACCTTCTAGGTCATGAAGTCCTAAGCCACAGGGAAAGCCACTGCCTCTGCCAGGTATTGCAGGATGTCTATCTTTCAGCCTTAATCAAGGGCAGGAACTCCAGAGCCCAGAATAGATATCCTGGTGACCCAGTCAATCAGTCATGCATAGGCACGCCAAGTGAAAGGCCCTTTGCCTATGAAAATGCCAGGGAGCAAATGCAATAGAGAGATTGGGAAGTACTGTGGAATTATCAGAGTAAAAGTTGGAGCCAGAATTTGATGAAGCTCATTTAGCCTCTTTCCCTCGTTCCTCCAATGTGAATGGCCTCCAAGTTTCGTTCTTTGAAGAGAGCAGGACATTCTAATTGCCCAAGGGAAAACTGGGCAGAGACGTTGCAGACAGCGGAGGAACAGTGTGTGTCAGTTCATCCACTGAACACATGAACAAGGTATTGAGAATTATGTTGAGAAATGAAATTGATGGCTCTGAAGTCCTTTGGAGCTGGGGTCTATGAAACAGGTCAGAAATCTGCTGTCCTAATTGGCTTCTGTATGAGTCACAAAACCCTGGCCTATGGGGTTTGGCCATTCAAAAGCAGGTGTCTGCCTGGATTTCATACTTTTCAACCTCCGCAGGGGAGACTCACAGGCCGGGGCACAGAATAACCACAACCAAACTATGAACAGGGACCGTCTCAAACTCGTGGAACTCCTGTCCTTCCCTGCAATATACACATACTCAGAAGAAGGCAACTGGCAGTGATGTGGGGACATGACCATTTACTATAAAAACCATAGTGCATGGAAGAACTTGGGCTCAGACCCGGTCTTCATACCACCCAGATCCATCACACCACAGCCGGCCACATAGCCCAGCACAGTAGAGGATGCATGTCTTCTGCACAACCTGCCATACCAGGAAACACCTATCCAAGCACAAGGGCCCAACACAATCTGCCTTCTCTGGGATTTCTATGACCAGAAGTTAGCTCCAGAGCTTCTCTCTCTGGAGGGCTTTTTCCACCCATGGATGCTACTTCGCTTCAAACCTACCATGTCTTACATGATACTAGCTTTGATTTGGTCTTCCCAACTATTAATTAATAGACTAATTCCTTAGTCTTATAATTCACCATTTCCCTCAGACCTCCTGACACTTAATATTTGGCTCTATATGTTATCTGATTGATAGGTTTCTGTAGGTGGTCACAGACATAAATATTATGTGGAATGCTGTATTTATTTTCTTCAAAAACCCAAAGTTAAAAAAAAAAGAAAATGAGAAAGTATTAAGCAGGAAAATAGAGAGGGAAATATTCATGTAACTAAAAAACAAACAAATGTATAGAGACACAGAAAAAAAGAAATGCCATTTACTTCATTTACATTTTTATTTTGAATAGCTTTAATCAAAAAAGATTTCATAAGGTTATTTACAGTGCTGAATGTACAATTATGAATGTATGTCTTTTTGACATCAGGGTACCATTCTTGAGCAGCAATACAATTTTAAAAATATAAAGATGCAATACCATTTCTGATATAAAGTTTCTTAAAAAAATTCCAAAGTCTTAGGGAATTAACAAATCATAACAGGAAGTTAACTATTTTATTAATTTAATGTGCACATAATTACCAAATTTTAATACATTAAAAATATGTGTAAATACCCAGACTGTACAAAAATTAACATCCCATATTTTGTTAAAAGTTCCCAACCACCTCCCACCATAAATATACAAAAGCCTATTTTCAGATGTCAAAATCACATGCAAGAAATCTTAGAATGTTTTCTAAAGCTTGAATTTTGCTTTTCTCTGAATATTGAATGTATAGCCATTTTGGAAGCAGAATATATAAACACTGATATTTTACCATGCATTTGAAACTGTGCAGTATTTTCATAAACAGGGAAAACAAAATAAATACAGTAAAAACTGCAACAGTTTTGTTTAAATGCACGTGCAATTTGGAAAGCTTTCGAATACAAGGACTATAAAACTAATATAAAAAGTATATATTTTATTGTTGGCTTAGCCATTTTTATTCAAGCATTATTTGCAGCATTGCTTTATAGCAGTTGGTGCTAGAAGATACAAAACATAGTTACCACTATTTATATTTGAGGGAGAACAAAAAAAAGAAACTTTAAACAACCCTGAGGGAGACACACATTAAAAATCTTGTTATTTATTTAAAAAGTTAAAAAGTTACATATCATTATTTAACAATTACTCTCCTGGACATTTCCGTCCTTAAGTATGTGTATAAATAAAATTTAAATCAGCAATACTTATTAATCTTAATACACCAAAATAATATATGTACAGATTTTAAAATTTAGGTCTGTATACACTCAAATAATTTAATGTGAAAATTCGGAATCAATATTACTATGTAATGGTGACCTATAGAGAGAGGACTCTATCTATGGCACTGAGAAAGACCCACACCTACATTCACAGACATTCTTCAAATAATATTCTGGAAGCCATCAATTACAACGTGAACAACCCACTTAGTCTATGTTCAAATCTAATTTTCTACAAATGCTTTTCCACCTACCTAAAAATCTTATTTCTTTGAAAACAGTATGGACAGACAAGATATAAAACCCTTATAAAATCTAAATGTTAAAAAAAGGGAGGGTGTAAAAAATATAGCTCTTTATGATCATGCTCTTAAAGATGTTA